CTTGAAGACTTTTTAATTGACCCATGGCAGCATTTTTCATAATTCATTTGGGTACCCCTCCTAAGCTCATAGAAAAAGTTGTGCCTCCCTTAGGAAAGCTATGGTTCCCTAAGATAATGCAAGATCTTTTATATTTTGCTTTGAGGCTTTGAGATTTGCTTCTTGATCTCACATCAAATCCCAGGAACACACACTCTGATATACAAATCTCAGTGGGAAAATTTATGTGGACAATTAAACAGTTCTACTGAGGAGTTGATTAAGCACAAAATGAAATGACGTAACGTGTGTTTCTACATCTTGAGAATGTCTCAAAGAAAAATACATATTTGGCTCTCAAAAGAGTCTATTATTATATAGAACATTAGATTATGAAATTTACTATCTAATTTGACTTCACCTGCTCAAAAGCAACTTATGAAACAACTAATAGAGTATTCTATGTGGTAAAATGATGGAATAAACTGGAAAGAAACAAAACTGCGTCTATCTAACTGTTGAGAATTAGAGATCTTGGAGTCAACATGGCGATGGAAAACCAATTACAAATAAAGTTAATGACTCTGAGATGTGCTATATGTGCATCATGTTGAAGTGAAGTTCTGGTCATCCAAGGCCAGAATAGATCAGAGTCGTAATTCAATACATACTTTTACTCCACGAATAGCTTGTGCCAAGCATTGTTCTAGGTACAAAACAGAAAAGGAGGATGATTTCAACTGAACATAAAGAATTTTGGCAAATGCCAAAGAGTGAATGAGAGACAGTAGAAGAAACAACACAAGCAATGGAGATTGGAAAGCGTGTCTCATGATTGGAAACTTGAAAATGAGATTTAGAGAGAATATTTTACCTAGTGAATATCAAACTCCAGTGGGAATGGATTCTGTATATCTTGGCAAAGAGGAATATGAGCACTTTTGAGCTTCTATCTACCCAGAGGATTAATCTCAGCAGAAAGAAATCCTTCTTTCATAATAATTCCAGCAAAATCCCATCCTTAAGTCACTAGTTCACTAGCGTCCACTCAGAATCCAATCATTGGTTCTCTGGTGACTGGCCATGAACACTTCACCAAATCCGCTTGTACAAAAGTAGAGACCCACTAAAAATAGGAGAAACTGGGTACCCACCAAGTAATTGAGAAGCAATAAGTAAGGGAAGGAGAAATACATATCAACCCCTACAGTTTGCAAGTAAGAGAGTAACCAGGTTATATATGTAAATAAAACCACTTAAAGAAATACAAAAGAAACTTGTATTTCTTTTCAGACCTGTCTGAGGAGCACTCAGTGTCCCTTGATTATTCCCAGCCAACTGGGAATGTTACTTACAAAGTAACATTGGAAAGAAAATAGAAATCTGACATTCATGTTTTTGTGAAGCTGAATATAATGCAGACTTCCTTTGTGCTAATAAAACACCTTTACTTTAGATATAAAAAGTATACCTGTATCTTAGTAGGATATAGAGACCAATAGCTATCCATGCTAAAGTAAGAGTAACTCGGTGTCCCTGATAAAATCAAATCAAAGATCTCTGGAACATTATAGATTCTGGAGAGAGATAAATTAGTAACTGGATGAAATGTGAGTGCCTGGGTAGTTATAAAGGCTTCTTAAACACAGGGAAGTTCAATATTGAAGGTTTCTCTGAGTAGACTAGATCTCTAGTACATTGGTATACTCTAGTTTAGCTACTCCCAGCTCAAGATTTTGCTCTCTAGGGGAGATTTGACAATACCTGAGACATTTTTCTTGTCACAAATGTGGGGAAGGGTGGTTCTACCATGTAATGGGTAGAGGCCAGGGAGACTGTTAAACACCCCGTAATGCACAGGACAGACACCCAGAGCACAGAATTATCTGTCCCAATATGTCACAAGTACTAAGGCTGAAAAACATTGTTCTAATTAGAGGATCAAGGGTAAAAAACTTTCTCTATTTCATTTGGAATATTTCTAAAAGAACTTTGCACTCAAATGTTTACTTTTTATGAAACATTATTAACAGTGCATTTTATGGGCCAGGTCCTTGCAGTTTTGTTATAGTGAAGTCAAAGTATTGACATTGTAGGAAGATAGGAAAAGTCAATTATGATTTAGCCTCTATCAGGTATGCGTGTATGGTTTGAAAAAGGACCTTCACACATATCAGCTTCTAATTCTCGGAACCTGTTAGTGCCACCTTATTTGGAAAATAGTCATTTGGAGATGAGATTAGGTTGAGGATAGTGAGATGAGATTATCTATCTGGGTGTACTCTAAATGGTATTACAGGCATTTAGAACAGAGAGGCAAAAGGTTATTTCATACACACACACACACACACACACACACACACACACACACACACATACACATGCATGCATGAGAAAATATAATAAAAATTGAGCAGAGAAAGTTTTTTTTGAAGATGCTAGGCTTGAAGACTGAAGTAATATGACCATCAGTCCAGGAATGTCTGCAGCAACCAGAAGCTGAAAGAGATAAAGAAAGAATTGTCCCTTAGACAACCCTGAAAGATTCTGATCTTTGTGACAACTTGATTTTGGCCCAATGATATTAATTTTAAATTTATGACCCCAGAACTGTAAGAGAATAAAGGTTGAGTGTTTTAAGCCATCGCATTTGTAGTAATTTTTTAGTAAGCCATAGAAAACTAATACAATAAGTTTAGAATATAATACATTTAAAAAGTATACTGAATGCTTAAAATAATTTTAGGTAGAGCAAATAAAAAGTAACAAGAACACAACTTTAAAAGTATGCTATCAAATACATGATCAACTTGTTTAATCAAGAATTAAGGTAGAATAACAAATAAAAGGGAAAAGTAAAAATAGCAATAACATCAGATAACTTGTTAATCAGTTACACCATATATTGTGCTAAGAACTTAGTTACATCATGTAATTTTTATGAAAATTTTCTTATGAAAGTGGATGATATCTCAGTTTTGCAGAAGAGTAGGTTTTAAAAGTTCTAAAATTATAATCTTGCAAAAGAAAAGTTAATGCAAAAGACAATAATCATAACCAACTAAAAAGTAACCTCCCAAATACATAAACATGTAGGAAATTACTCCAAAATTTTCATGAGAAAACACAGACTATGAGATGAATGTATCTTCATCCCATGTAAATAAAAATGAAATCAGTTTAATAAGAATGGTTTTATTCATTAACGATGATGGAAAAGACATGTATTTCTATGTGCACTTTGTTGGAAATATGTCGATGTTATCTCAAACCAGAAAATTGAGTCTAACAACACCACTCTCAAAATTTATTCCAAGCAATTAGAGACTGGAGAACAGCAGCATGGTGGCATAAATGTCTGAAACAGCCAATAAAAAGAATAAGATATGACTTAAGACAGAAATATGAAAACTAAAAAAGCATGTATCATTGTCTACCACATAAAATTCTTCTCCATTTTTCATTTTTCTCTCATATCCACCCCCCAAGCTCCTTTATAGGTCTCTCTGATGAAATCCTGATTCTAGCTAAGAAAGGACCTTCTCAAAATGTAATTTGGATCCTAAGACATTTTTGAGAGCTTCTTTCACATCCTTGTTCCTCAAGCTGTAGATCAGGGGGTTCAGCATGGGGATCACTACAGTGTAAAACACAGAAGCCATCTTGTCTGTATCCGAACTGTTGCCCGAACTGGGGTGACAATAAGTGGAAAGGACTGTTCCCTGTAACATGACGATGGCTGTGAGGTGGGAGGCACAGGTAGAAAAGGCTTTGCGCCTCCCCTCTGCAGAGTGCATCCTCAGGATGGTGATGAGAATAAACAAGTAGGAGGTGAGGATGATCACGATGGTGATGATCTCATTGAAAGTGGCCACAATGAACAACATGAGTTCATTCAGAGTGACATCAGAGCAGGCAAGATTAAAGATCGGAGGCAGATCACAAAAGAAGTGGTTTACCACATTTGACTTACAGGATGTGATCTCAAGCGCTAAACAAAAGTGAATAAAAGAACACACAATTCCACAGAAGTAGCAGCTAGACACCAACACCACACGCAGTTTCTGGGACATAGTGACCAGGTAGAGCAGTGGGCTACAGATGGCCCAG